AGTAGTATTATTGTACATGCCATGCGTTAATTTAAATGCTGCTGCTGAAAAGTGAAACTATAGATAACTCTTGATATTCCTTCTTTTGAGATTATGCTAAGATCCTTACATGTCTTGTGTGAGTGTATGGATAGTGGATTAAGGAGGAATGGATAATGCTCTGACTCTATGTATTTTCCTTTTCCTTCGATTCGGTTTCAACTTTGTGACTATGAATTGAGAATCAAATTGCAATTTTGAAGGAGATAATATTTAGATGGAAAGAAAACTGTCCCGTCTTTCTGCCTTTTTCTTAAGGGTGTTGCAGTGTTTCTGATATTTCTCTTGGTTGTTGCACAGGTGAAAATTGGACTTAGGGTTCTCACTCGGCCAATGAGTGACCGTTTGCCTCAGATTTACCGAACCCTCGGAGAGAACTACAGTGAAAGGGTTCTTCCTTCCATCATCCACGAAACTCTGAAAGCAGTGGTAGCTCAGTACAATGCAAGCCAGCTCATCACACAGAGAGAAGTAAGTGTCTCAGCATTCTTGTTCTAAAACTTTTTCCTACTCTTTTGTTTGTAATTGTGGACTGTTTTCACACCTCCTCTAGGCTGTGAGCAGAGAGATACGCAAGATTCTCACAGAGCGAGCTTTTAACTTCGACATTGCTCTTGATGATGTCTCCATCACGACTCTGACATTTGGCAAAGAGTTCACCGCTGCAATAGAGGCAAAACAAGTCGCTGCTCAGGAAGCTGAACGTGCTAAGTTTGTTGTGGAGAAAGCCGAGCAAGACAAGAGAGGCGCGGTTATCCGTGCACAGGTATAGGTTTGTTGATCTTTCAAGGACAGAGATTAACTATGGGTTTTCGGATTTTCTCTGCTAAAGCGTTAGATCTATTTGATTCTTTGTGTAGGGAGAAGCTAAGAGTGCTCAACTTATCGGACAAGCTATCGCAAACAATCAGGCATTCATCACTCTGAGGAAGATTGAAGCTGCGAGAGAGATTGCTCAGACCATTGCACATTCTGCTAACAAGGTTTACCTGAGCTCCAACGATCTGTTGCTTAACATTCAAGAAATGAACTTGGAGCCTAACCCTAAGAAGTAGAACAAGGAACAAGTAAGTTCCATTGA